GCTTTAGCCCTTTTCCTTGCCATGAGAGGACAGAACTGGTATGAGACTCTTATGTCTAAAAAAGTGCTTGGATTTTAAAGAGAAAATACCCAACATCCTTCATGAAAATCATAAGAAGCTCCTTTTGGCTGTCTTTATTATATACCTTCATGTGCCGTAGGAGTTCCTAGGATTTAGAAACACGTCCCTTTATAACACCTACCAAAAAATCATAAGCAACCTCTCAAATCCTTTTGTCCAAGCGTATCTGATAGCTATCTAGTGTGTTATTTCCAATAATTTCTGCTCAGTTAGGTACACAATAACAATAGTATTGTGTGTATTCAATCAAGTATTTTTATTCACAGAATACATCTCAAATTTATTTTAGCAGTTTAAATAAGAGAGTTTAATATATATTTAGTCAAGCATTACAGTGGTGAGGGCTTAAGCAGATTAGAAATAAATGAATCCAATTAAAGCACAGCTCTGTGAAGTCTGATGTGTCGTAAACATGAATGAACTGTTTGCACAGCGACTGTAAAGAAATCATTAATGATTAACTATCTAGAAGAGGTTTAATCAAGGATAAAAGGTATAAGACATAGTTAAAAACTTTTGTGCTGAATACATGGAGATTCTGAAATAATAAAAGCATGCTTTGCATCAATAGTGACATAAGTACTGGTCTTGGGAAATATATTTTTGTTATCAGTGGTAAGATCTGTGCAGCCAGGGGCTGCAGCTGAAAGGTAGCTTAGTAACATTAGCTATCATATGTAATGACAGTGGGAGATTGTTCCTTCCAACAGAAAGTTTAAGTTTAATAGGTGAGACAGACAAAGGCCTTTCACAAATTGTTTCCTACAAGAATATATTTTTATCCTCCCTTTCAGAGCTAATATTCAGAAAAGTTAAGGTAGGGATTCTCAGAAGTGATCAGTGCTGGGCTAAATTTGATCTCACCCAAATTCAAGGTTCCACTGGCTGCCTTGAGGGTAAGCTCAGGGGAGTACCAAGAGCTTGCTAAAACCCCACAAAACATGATTAGTCCAACGTGACACCAGCAGTGTGTGGGAGGGTTGAGAATTGAACCTAGACCACTTGGCTACTAGATTGGTGTCTTACAGGTGTCGGTGGCATTCAAGGTATATTTTTTAGCACATAAAAATATTAAGAAGTCTGAGATGGGAAAGTCTACCCTGTATAACAGCAGTCTGTGGTACTGTTGTCAGTCTGGCTTTCTGTGAAACGTAAACCATCTTATAGGAATATGTGAGAACTTCTGTTTGTGTGGCATTAATTCCTGAAGGGGTGCTGCGTACATGCACTGAGGTGACATTGGGTTTTATGGAGTTGTTGAAAGGGAGTAGTAGTTGGAGGAAAAAAAATCAGACTTTTTAAAGTCTCATTTAACAGACTTTTGGTTTATTCAGGAATATTATTTTGAATGTGCAGGTGAATTTAAAGTAATGGAAAATCCCAAATGGTTGCAAAGAAGTCACCACAGTTATTTAATAAAGGCTGACAGGATGGATGTGAGTCATAGAGTTCTGCAAGATTTGACATACCTTCAGATAAAGTATTCTTAACTGTTTGGTGTCCATCCAAAAAAACTCCTGTTGTAGACTATGTCCCTCTTATCCAAATTTCTCATTATCAGGCAGATTCTAACATGTACAAATGTTCATAAACTCCTGTCAAATGTATTTCTCCATTTAACTTGGCAAGTACCGAATGTACATTGACCATGACTTTTAGCCAGTTGTGCTCCTAGGCACCTTGCACTTGAAAGAAAACACTCCCAGTACAAATAAATGTCACAGAATTAAACTCAGGTTATTGTATTTCACTTCTTTAAAACACTTTTTCAGTGCTATCTGTAACTAAAAATGGTAATTATATTTATTTGTACTTGGCCTAGGCTATCTTAGGCACTTTATTCATAAACAAGAATAGATCCCTGGTGCATATTTTCATTTAGAAAATATAGTAAATAAAGGCAAACACAGTGTACAAAGGGGTCCTTCTGGAGCCAGAGATGGCTAGGCATGTGGTTAGGAATGACAAACTGTACCTTCGGACTGCTGAAAACTCTGCCACACCATGATTATCTAGAGGCCAGGATGTTTTATTTAACTCCAGCTGAAAGTTAAATGACTGCATTCCGAGATGAGAAACCAATCAGGGAATATATAAAATTTCTCTGACAGTAGTTAGAAGATAGTCTCAGGCATTTGTGTTAAATGATCTGTACAGGAAACTTTGTGCTTCAGTTTTTTTGAGTGTGTCAAATTATTGAATTAAACTTCCTGGTCTGGCTTGCTCTTTAAATGCAGATGCAGAAACATGGTATCATGCATGCAGATCTCATGGCTGGAGAAGCTGTAAACTTTGACTCAACAAGATGTAAACAGCTACTCTTGCTTATGCTATTTATGGAGATAAATGGGTGCCTGAAACTTAATGAAGGGATCCAATATACAGATGTCTTACTTCTCCAAGTACATACATTGCTTAACTGTCAAGTGTACTAATGATAAACAACCTCTTGAAAGATTTCTGGAGGGTCTTTCCATTTACTGTAATGAGCAGTAGGTCAGGCCTATGCAGGACTTTTCACTCAAAAAATTTTAGAAAGGAGAACTACTAATATCGTCCCAATTACGGATGGAAAAACTGAGGCAGGGAGTATCTCTGAGGTCACACAACTGAAGGTCAGTGTAGTTTCACAACAAGCAGTGAGGTTCAACAGCTTTTTTTCCCATTTTGTCCTGAAATTTGGCTACCTGTATGAGCTAAGCAGTACCTCCTTTTTTTGACTGGTTCTGGAAGATGCTGAAGGGATCACATACACTCCTCCTGACAAGTGTCTCGAGCAGACTGAGGCCTTTGTAAACATTTCTGAGACATATTGTACATGAACAGAGGACACAACAGATGAGGAAATTGTCTGTTTTGTTGTACCATCTGCTGATTTAGAAAGCCATGAAGATGACAAACAGCCAGAATCTGTTCTCTTTTCACTCATCTGCTGAATGGCACTCTGTTAGCATTGCATGAGGTGGAGTGTGGAAATGTTGAAAGTTGCAGGCATTGTCTAAAAGTAGAAGAATGATATATTACAGTATTGTGGTCAGACATGCATGAGGAAGTGCCAGACTTTTACCACCTTCATGGCTGATTTTAACTGAATTGCAACAACTCAGCAAAAGAGATGGAACGTTAATGACATTAACACCTTCAGTTTAAACTCACTGTTTCTATTCTGTGTTCTGTTAGACTGGCAGCAAAGCAGACAAATATAATTTTTCTGATTTTTAATGAAACGAAATGCGGAGGGCATATGTCCCTTTTCATAGATTTTTCATGTAAAACTAGAGGAAATGATGAACATATATTATGTATTCAATAAAAACAATAGTGCATCCAATTAATATTACACCTTGTTTCCTTTTGCACGAATAATGCTTTGCACTTTCAGTCATGTGAGTGATTGTACCCATGATGTAGGAACCTGCTGTATTAAGATCATCTAATGCTTTTACTTCCAGCTTGTACTTCATTAATTACTTTAATATGCATAAGAAATAACATGGGTGTAGGTTATCCAGTGTTTGTCAGATGAAGGTGGCCACCTGATGCCTTTTTATTCTTTGTCTGCTGTGATTTCCAGTGGCAATATAATCATTGCATGCTGTTCAGACTATCCGCTGATAGATACCTGAGAATAAGAGAAAGACCTCTTTCCAGTCGTGTCTTGATATTTGCATTGCTGCTGAAGAGATTAAATTAAGTGCACTTCTAATGCCATAACTCCACATCTCAAAACTGAATTTCCGTGAATCTTCTTTAAGGTGTCTACGTTTCGTGTCTTTCAATGGAACTAAATACACTGTAAATACCTGTTTCTTTGCTGGTTATCTGTGTATTCTCAGTCACCACATGTATAGCTTATTCTTCCTTTCTGGCATGTTGTGGCATTAAAGTAAAAAAGTACTTTTCCTTATGGCTTTTGCAGAGTTTTCCATGGGCTGATAATTTTTTCTTCTTTTTTGAAGATTTTCTTCTTGTTTTGAAGGTTATGCTGCTTATGATCATACATATATAAGATCTCCATTCTTGAGTCTGATGGTCCTTCTTCTTAAGTTCTTTTGGTTGAATCTGGATATTTATTCTTCACTAATGGATATCATTATTTTACTCCTTCCTTTGGATACATCCTGTTCAGCTGCTCTTTCTATTTTGAAAGCATTTTTCAGGGCTTAAGTTCTCTTCTGTTCCATAGCCAACACTGTCTTTAAGCAGGGAATCTTAATAGCTTCAAAACTATTTGTGCCCTTAGCTCTTTAATGTTCATGTCTAATCTCACTTTAGTTTTTAGATGTTGATTAAAGTAGTCCCAAACTTTGCCCTATTACTCCAAGAAACACAACTACAAAAAAGCCTGACTTGTCTCTACAATTTTAGTTTTTCTTGGGCCATACCACAACCATGGGGCTTCTGTCACTGATTCCAGTCTTCCCAACATTATTTCTAGCGATGCTGACTCAGTTTTTCCTCAGTTTTTTTTTTCCTTCAACAAAGGCATATAAAAAAACTCCCACTTTTTCAGTTTCGTGGTGAGCTCTATCCATATGCTCAGTAGTTATGTTTGTGCAAGCTCTGTTGTTTGCCAAGAATTCAGGTTTTATGGTGCTCTAATGCTCCCTTACTGTTCTTTTTTGGGTCTGTTAATCAGCCGTTACTTCTTCCTCAAATTTTCATTAGATAGACTGTTGCCACCATGTTTCATTTTGGTAATTAGAGGAGGTAGAAAGTGTCTTCTAAAGCTGAATTGTGAGAACTCTTCACAAAAGTGTTGCAGATTCAGCTGGCATCCAAGTCCTGTGCAGATTCACTTCGTCCTCAAAAAGCTTTTCTGCTTCAGTCTTTGTCCTTCTCCATCTATGCAGCTTGCTATAACCAGGTTCTTTGAATAAAGAATGCTTTGTAGTCAATTTTCAGATGCTTTATTGCAGAGAAGTGCGGATGGTGCAGCCATCGATCCTCGGTTTTTCATGATGCTAGCTCTATTAGATCAGTAAGTGCTTTCAGAATTAAGCCCAAGCTTTATAACAGGCATTGGAAGAGCCAGAGATATGGCACATGGTGAAAATACTGCTGGGAGTTAGATCTGAGAAGACAATGGGAAGCAGCATGTTGTAGCAAGCAGATTTTGCATTTTGTCTTCTGATATTTTTTGCTTACAGTGAAGCACAGTAATCCAGTCAGTAGGTGCCTGATGCATTGAACATACTGGCCAGATTCTCCTAAGGGGGATGGGACAAGATAGAGGAGAAATAACACATTTTTGGAAGCATATGCTACCAAAAGCTGATGAATCCAAGTTTTTTGAGAAGTCAAAGAGGACCTAGAATTTCCATCCAACTGTGGAGAGAATGGCTGTTTCCCATCATGAAAAGGTGGAGGTCTTCAACATGTTTCTCTTTGCAAAGAAGCATCACTTTGGTCTTGTCTGGATTCAGTTTGATCCATCTGTTCTTCATTGAAGAGCTAATTTCCTGTAGTTATTCTGATGTTTTATAGTGATGATAGTTGCATCAGAAAATGAGATAAATAGTAGATTGTCAGCAACATACTGTTAGCAGTTGAACACATGCCATATCACTCTCTCTCTCAGCAGTCTCATGTAGATAGATGTAGATTATATGGATCCCTGTGGGATCCTGAAGGTGAGGACCTTGAAGGAATAGGCTCGTATCCACCATTTGTTTTTTTAATTACTTGTAGACCATGAGATGCAGTACTACTGTGTCGCCGGGACTGTGTTATAGAGGACTGAGGTGTCTGAGAACAGGAATCTGGAGATTACAGTTCCGTGGTTGGTGGAAGTTTTATTAATTCCTCCAGGAAGTTGTCAGAATTTCCATCTGTAGTTTGCATACCACTAGGAGCCCTGGTTCCTCTAGTCGTTTCCCTCAGACTGCATATGGATATACTCAAACATTTTCATTTCTTGGTGGAACATCTTCTGCATCTGACATAGAGACCACAGAACCCTTCCTCCATGTCTCCTTTGCTTTTTTTTTTTTTTAATTTCTAGTATTTATCTTGGCTTGTTACTAGTGGTGTTCTGGTATCAATCTTGGCTCTTCTAAGGGGTAGCTGTGCTACGATAGGGTTGAGATGAATCATCTCTTGGTGATGTAAACATGTCCAGGTGTTTCATCTGCCAGGAGAGTGCAGAAATGTTCTTTTTCTAAGGGGAAACTGCATTTGGCAGCAAGAACTTCAGCTAGTTTTCTTCTTATCCTTTGTTTAATGATGTTACCGTATCGGCAATTGGCTGAAAATACCAGCTTGTGGCGTTTATTTTGAGAGGGTGACTCCTCACCATAGTGATACCAGGGACTTAGAAAAATAAGACAGAGCAGCATGCAAGGTTTTGGGCAGACCTGGTTTACCTGTTTGTTTTAGATTCCCATGACCTAGGAGTGTTGTACAGTGCAGTCTCTATGATTTGAGTGCTCAGCACTTACACAGATCATAACAGTGGGCAAGTAGTGTTGGAGTGACAGTCTGTGGTCTGAAGACTGAGATGGTGTTTCTTCAAATTTTTAAAAACTCTTCCACTGACATGAGAAAGCAGCAGACAGTTACAAGGTGGCATATGCCAGAGATGCTGAGGTAATGGCAGGCATGCTGAGTTACGGATTCTGCAGCAAAAAGGGAAGCAAAAGTGTTGGTAGGTTCCAAAATGAAACCTCCTCATATCCCTAAGGCTGTGAACAACTTTTCTACTTAGTTTTGATTAATTTTAATTTCTGGAGACAATACTTTCTGCATCTGACACCAAGACTGCAGGACCCTTCCTTTTCTTGCAAGCAAATAGTCAGGGGGAATGTGTATATCAGGATGAGACTGATAGTTTTTTTCAGGACTATTGATAATGCCTCATGCTACTTTAGTAGTTAAATATGAAGATTAATTGACATCCTTTGTTTCCGATGTTTTGTGTAACATGAAGATAATTTAGTTAGACTCAGTTATGGAAACAGATGCTTTGCATGTCAAGACAAGGTGTGTGGATTGAAATTCTAGGTGTAAGCATGGGAAATATTAATTACTTCAATATATGTGGATGAGTCTTACCCTTCAAATAAGCTGAGGCAAATCCTTATACTCAGATGCTTTCACTGCAGGCAGGATATTTGAAATGCAAGTATTATAGCAGAGGCCTACCTCTATTAAAGCCCAAATTTTAAGAAATTACCTTATTAAGAAGCAATTTTGCATTACAGATCATTAGTTATACTTAGCCAATCTCTGTCTGCTATGGACTGGAAACAAAGTAGTCATCACAGTTCCAAAGTCTGTGATTTGTTTTCATGTGCTCTATGTACATGGATATATACGCTTTGTCTGCATTGCCAAGAAAACTAAGCCTCGTCTACCAATAAGTTCATTGTTTATCAGGTGCAAAAAAAATTTAGTGTAGAATTGGCATTAATTAATTTGTCTGTTCTGCAGGTTTACCTGTGGCTGTTCAAAGATTCTTCCAGTTCCATGTATTTCAGTGATTTATCAAGTTTATCCTTCTGCCTGTGCCTGATTTTATCCATGAAAGCATTTCAGCGTACTAAGCTGTCATATGCTTAGATTGTGGTGTAGTTCCTTTCTGGGAAAAAAAAAAAAAAGTTAGACTGTCATGGTTTACATCAATATATGTGTGATTATAGAGCAAGATATTGCTGGTAAAGCTGGGTGAAAAATTTGTTCTTAAAGTAATTCATTAAGGATGAGTGTGAGTCTTTAGGTTTAGATGGAGTATGGGGTAATGTGTGAATGAATGTGTTGCCTCCTTGACTGCATAAGCGAAACATTGTTCTTCCTTTGCTCTCCTACTTCTCTGCTGATTAACACAAAGGAATAGAAAAGCCATGAATCCTTCCTCTTTTCCTCCAGGTAGGTAGGTCAGGAAGAAACTCTTGCTTTGCTCTTTCAATAAATCATTGTCAGAATAGGTTCCGTATGACTACATGAAAGCTGGAGAGCTCATTTCTTACTCCCCCGGGTATCAGCAGACAGGCAGATGTGTGCAGAGGGGTGCAGTCCAATCCATATGCGCTTGTTATGATCAGTAAGACATTGTGGATAATGCCAGTTTTCCTTGCTTTTATGTATTCATTAGAAAGATTGAAGAAACTAACACTGAACTTCACAAATTGCCTTTATATCTAGCTCCTCACAGAAAACCTCGAGTGTTTTGTGAGTGCATGTTAAACTATTTAAATCACAGGATTTTTATTTATTTAGCCGTTTTCTCTAACTGGTAAACTCTTTCAGTATCAGAAACTTCAAACGGAGGAAGAAGCACTCACAAGACTCATATAAGAATAACAGTTCAAAAATTTGAACCAATTGCCTGAAACCTTGTAAACAATGAAAAATGCAACCTTAAAGATGAAGTGTTTTCCATAAAAAAAATTAGCTTAATTTGTTTAGTCATCTATGTAAGCTGTTATGTGCACCCCCACACATGCATGAACACACATACATATACACACATGGTAAGAGTTTTGAGGAAAATGTATCCTATTTACTGCTTAGCTATGTGACCAATGCAGAACTGTAATATAAATATTTCCATCCCATTGTTTTTTATTACTGAAGAAAGTAGATCAGGATGATAACAGCTGGATGCAAAAAGCAATCATATTTTCAGTATAAAAGTAGTGCTATTGTTTAGTAAACTATACTACTTATATGTATTAGGGGGATATACTGACTTGCCCTGGATGGTTTTATACTTTTTCCTTAAAAATATCTTTCGTTTCCACCCCCTACTAAGAACCAAGGAATGTTTCCCATTAAGATATGAAGTGAGTTTGTTTTTCACTTTTGCCTTTTATATAGGGATACTGAATATAAAGGACTACAGCTCTCCCTGGATCAGGTCACTGCTACCAAGCCGGCATTCTCATACGCAAATTCAACTCCGACCATAACGGATAATAGAAAGGGAAGCAAATCTCGCCTCTCGAGCACAAAGTCAAAATCAAGGACATCACCGTACCCACAGGTAGCTGTCTTTGAAAAACAAAACTGAATCTTTTTGAATATCTTGATTTTGACTGCTATTTTACCCACGTAATTAGAATGGGCCGAAGAACGTGTTACTCAAAGGGAATAAAGGATGACAGGTTAGAGGATCTTGAGACAGGAATATGTTTCTTTAAACTGTTTCTAGAAGGCTGGAAACATTTATGTTTCAGCATGCGTAATAAATCATCATCAACAACAATAACAGCACAGGGCTCACAGTTAATGAGGAGCGGACAGAAAGACAAGTGAAAATGTTGGTTTTGAAATACTTGGTTTGAGAAGATTGTGAGTTTTGCCAGTTGAGAAATCTTCATTTTCTTACTCGCGCTTTAGTAATTCCAACATATCTAGGAAGCTGCCAGATGTTTGACAGCAGTTTAATACTGAAATCTTAGGAGGAGCGAGTTTTAAGGAGGGAAAGCAACAAGCTAGCTTGCTGAACTGGAACAAGAAAGCTTTTCTATCTACAAAGCTTTGAAAGGGAGAAAGCACTAGGAGCTGGCCATTGGAGTCGGTAGACTTTAATTTTCCAGATTTCATTTTCAGGCCTAATGTGTAAGGAACACATCCCCTCTGCAGAATGGACCAGACTAGACTTGGTCTCTGAACTGGAGCTTACCTAATACATTTGTGCAACTGATTTCTGCAGACAGTGTTACAGCACTTGCATACTTACATTGTGGAGGCTTTAGGTCAAATAAATCTGTTTGTCAAAACAACCACCATGTTTACTAAATAACGATGCAAGTCTTACTGCCCCTATGCCGTCACACAGTGGATATAAATGGATGCATTCGTGATGTAACTTTGAAAAGCTATGTATTTTTAAAGGATCCAGGTCAATATTTAACTGATAATGACCTTGATGACTACGGTTGCTCTGCAGGCACAATGTGTTCTGAGCTACCCTCTAAAAATGCGCAGTGTGAGCTCAAGTGTCTACAACACTTCCTTGTTTTCTTTCTTTTTCACCTCAAAACTACCAAGGGTAAGAAATTCAGTTAAATAATACCTGCATTTTTACAGGGAATATTTAACCAAGCACCTAGATATGAACTCAGATTCTTAACTTTAAGAATCTACTTTTGCCAGAGATTGTTGTGGCTTGTTTTTAATCATTTGTTCACATTCATTTCTGTGGGTTGTTAAAGAAGAGTCTTTTCCTTGAATGCGCTGCAGCAAACAATTGTATTAAAACTGCTTTAAAGAACGAGGAAAGATGCCTACAGTTAATTCTAAATTAGGTTTTTAAGATTATGACCTTTGATTTACTGAAATTACCCTTTATCTCCCCTTAATCAGTCCTTTCAGAAGTCCTCATGTGGTGGTAGGATGATCTCAGCTGATCCTCCCACATCAATTCTCTTTCTGAAAGTGTGACTTGCATCAGTACCTCCTTATTCTCCCTGCCACCAGAAAAAATCCTGAACTAGCAATGCAGTGCTGAGACTGTTGGTTTAGCAGGGATTCTTGTCTGAAAGCTCAGGATGTTTAGTCTCCAGTTTCATTTTGCATCTTCGTTAGCAGCTGCCTGGTAGTAAAGTCACAGATTTCATCATACACAAAGAAGCAGCCGTGCTAGCTGCCAGTGTCTTGAAAAATGGTCATACCGTTCATTGTAGCACATCACCACAAGCAACGCTGGCAGCTTGGCTTTGCATCCCTCTCATCCTTCTCCACCACTGAATAAACTGTTGAAAGACTGAGAAAAACTGTTGTGAAGAACATGCAGCAGGTGGTATGGCCTGCGTCCCTAAGCTTCCAGCCCACGTAATTTGCCAGTCAGTTGCGGAGAATTAGGGTGTGATTCAAAAGCCACTGCTGAAAAGTGGGGGCTTGGGTTTTGGCTTACAAAGGAGCCTGGGTTTTGGTGGACGAGAGAAGCAGGAAGTTTATTAGCAAAATAATGGCAGTGGGCAAAGTATTTCTTAAAGGACACCTAGGAGATTTTAAGTCTATGTACTTACTTTCATTGTTTGTTTTTTTTTTTCCCTCCTTTAGCCTTAGCATTTACTTTGCTTCACTCTTGAAAAGAGAATCATGTGCTTTATCGGGTGATGGCTGAGAATCCTCTCCCTTGCCATCTGTGTGCCCCTTAGGATAGTTACGTGAGATGCAATCTGTAAGAAAACTGTGATAATAAATTTCAGCTGAATGTTTAATACTAGTGAAAAAGATGGATGTTTTGGTCACCTAAGACAGTGTTAATGTTTTTTTTCCTCAAATCTCCTGCGAAAGCAGACATAGTGTAATATGGCACTTGTAGACTCTTCAAAACTGAGTTCTTTACATTGGAGGCATTGGTCAGCATCTGATTAACACTGACTGATGTTAGTACAGTGGGATAGCAGGTTCTATGACAGCAGCCCCAGGCAGGGGAAGGGCAAGCAGAGAGGAGAGCAACCCAGAGTTCATGACACAGCTGTAGGATTTGCCCAGGCACTTTGCACAGTGCTCTTCTAGTGCTGTCCTACCAGAGAGATGGAGAGCTGAAAGAGGAGGTGAAAAAACAGGAGAGATGAAGACTTGATAGAGATTTGCAGAAAAAGGAAATTGTGTGTTGGTTGAAAGATGCCTGTAGTCTTCCCTCATAATAGTAATCATTTTAGGGACTCGCAAAAGCTAGCCCTGGACCTCATTTATTCTGTACACAGGAAATAGCAACAAGATTGGAAAAACATTCTAATTGTGATCATCTGAACAACTGCCGTGGAGTTTAATCTCCCATTAATGACGATTGTTTAAAGAAAATGTTCAAACTTGTCTGTTGCTGGGCTCTAATGGAAATGTTTTACGGTGAGATCCGGATAAACATTTGTTGCTTCGTATCTCATCTTAGTTCTTCGATAAAGATTATACATATGTAAAACAAACGCATGCACACAAGTAAGGATGTTGGATGGAGGCTTTGGTGTGTGTTACAGCATGCATCAGTTTTTGAAGGTAAGAGCCTTCTCCATTAGGTGTGTGTGAATACACCCGATTTTGGAGGTAAATTGATTTTGTAGCTCCTTTAAACATATAATCTAGATTAATTCTGCAGCCCACCTCTATTTGGGCATATCAACCAGTGGGGTAAAGATAACAGAATCAGGCTGAATTCTAGTCAACCTTTTGTTGTTGTTGTTTTTTCATTTCTTCCTGTAGCCTAAAGCTTTGGCAACTTCCAGTGTATTCAAAAGCAAAGCAAAACCCTCTTTTTATAGTAAACATAACTCCTGATCTGGTGAAGAGTCACCAGCAGTGGGGGTTATTTTAATGGACATGCTGTATTACTTTAATCTAAGCCTTTCACCATCTGTTCTGCCTATAATAGTGAATGCAAAGAGAACATATTTTACATTTCAGGATTACATTAGTAAAAAGTAAGATAAAAGTGATTTAAAAGCGTGCATATGTTCTTAGTACAATGCAGCTGGCATCTGTGATGTTTCTTCTCATGGTTAAGACACAAATCAAGAGGAAAGCTGCTAATGCTGCTGCAGTGAAAGTTTTTCATGGAAAAGAGGGCTCTGAAAGGGTTTCACTATATATTTAATGTTTATAATGATAAAAACCTGAGTAGGCTTCCAGAAAGCTAGATATCTATAACATCTATTGTTTGAACATCTGGCATGGTGTGTAGAGCAGGATGATGTTGCTGCCTATGACAGGACAAATGCTTAGGCCAGCAAGACACCTGTAGGAATGGAAGGTCAGGCAAAAGAAAATCACCCGAGAAATATTAAATTGTCTACTGGCCTAATACACTTTCATGGGCTCTAATAAAATAAGCTTTTCTTAGACATGGAATTTATATTTTCCTATTTCCTTGTCCCTTTGGACATCCTGAAGCTTTTCTTGGAGTGAAAATAGCATCAGTGATGGCCTATAGCCCCTTTCTATGTCAGTGCTAATGCCACTGGTGTGCTCTCACTGCGACGGTACACTGGATTAGTGGTCTGGAAGACATTTCTAGTATCTGGAGGTGGCAATTCATTTTCCAGGAACCAGCTGGAGGACCATTTATTTTATAGTTGTTGTTTGTACCAGAAAACAATTCAGAAATCACCTGAAGGGATTTCAGATGTTGCTTGTCTGAAATTCTTTATCATGTTTAACTTCTGTCTACTGATTAAACTTCATCAAAAAACCCCAAAATAATAAATTATGCATGATAGGAGTCAGCAGATAAAAAAAACCCAGAAAGGAAAGCATTTCTGGTGAGGCAGGACTGGGACTGAAAAAAAAATATTTACACTAATTTTAGTTGGCCATAATTTTCATTAATTCTGATTCTATTTTCTGTGGTCTTTTATCATTTGACGCATGGGAGCCTATTTCTGACTTGAGAGATAGTGTTTCCCCTTCCATTTCACTGAAGCAGTATCTTTGATCCTCCTTTCATTTCTCCCCCTGTCAACATGTGACACATGGCTGTATTTGGAGATTCCACCTGTCAACATCAGATTCCCAGGAGAGGCAGTGGTAGGACTGCAGTGGTAGAGGCAGCCTGGCGATGCCAAATAGACATGCGATTAGCTTTAAAGTGAATTAGATGTATTTTTGGCCTATGTCTTCTTAGGTTGTACATTAACAATAAGCAGTCATATCAAACCTTGGTAGATGATGTGGGCCACAACCAATTCACTGTGTTAATTTAATTCTGTCTGTGGCCTATAGCAGCTGTTGTGGGTCAGGTCCCAAACAGTCATCATTTACATCTAGTACAAAGTATATGCATGAAGTATTGTTGGTCTTGACTACATGGTTATATGATATTACCTGGTACATTTCTGATATACTGAATATGCACTCTTTTAAATGCTTTCCCTTTCTGTAAGAAAAGTGCACAAAGGCCTGTGGAACAGAATCCTTTGTGGTTAGGTTCAAGATGAAAAAAAATTGAGCAAATTTTCAGTTAAATGGAGAAATTACCTTCAAGAGAAGATATGTTGGACCCTGAGGTGTCCTTAGAAACAGAGAACTAGTAGAAGAATAACTGTTAGAGCTAAATGAAATTAAAAATTTTCAGTTTGAAGGAGTCTCTGATATTTATTTTCCTCATAAATTGTCAAAAAATAAAATTTAATTAGAAAATCATTAGAAATTAATTTTCCTTGTCCTCCTCATGAAAGAAATACATACTGTGAGTTTTGTTTTTAAGAAGAAAATGAATGAACTTTAAACTTCTTTGTACTTACATTTGTGCTTATCGTATCTTATATTTCACCTTAACTTTCAAAATCAAGAAAATCTATCTTGTAATAGTCAAATATAAAAAGACCACTAAAAATCATTCTAAAATCAAGGAGAGGTACAAAGGTAGTTTTCCATTTGTGAATTTCCTTTTTAACAAAAATTTAATAGTCAAAATCTTGTTAATAATTTTTTTTTTGTTAGAAACTTATTCCTATGTACTTATTTTTGTCAAAAATTTTACAATAATTCATTTGGTATTTATGAAGATGTCTTTGTGACTAAGCAGTTTGAAGACATTAGATCCAAAAGGACAGTAGAAGAGTTAGATGTTCCAGCTGGTCACATAACACTGTGAAGGCTGAATAAAGTTCTTAGTTAACATATATCAAGTTACTGGCATTTAAAAGAGCTCTTTTGTGGCTCTGTAACTATCTTGCCTCCATGCAAAATCAGGCTTATGCTTTCATCTCTAAGACTTCGCGATGAAGAAGATGGTACTAACTTGCTAACCGCTTCCATACAGACTGGTACGTTTTTTTTTGCCTAAGGGTATCCTTCTGACAACTAATAACAAATTATAATCGAGCTCCTCAAAGCCATGACCCTTTCTTTCTTTCCTTTGAGTAACCTATCATGCTAACAAACAGTATTCACAACAATAAACTGGAATACTGAAGAAATACCCAATTAAATGCAAAACCCGAAGTAGTTCCACTACTGATGTTGCACAGATGGTTTAAGTTTCTGTAAGTCAAACATCTGGTCACTACTTTCAATTGGCAAGTGCATAAAACCTTGATCCTGGCTGATAATGAGGAGTTTCATAGCAACTCAATCTAATGAAAAGGAAGGTAAGCTTATGTTTTCAGGAGAGAGACCTAATGCCTATTAGGCAGGGTGGGCATCTGGAAGGCGAGTGATGGAACAGGAGAATTCCGAGGTTTCACGTTGTAATACATCGATTTGTGACATGAGTGTGCAGCACTGAAGAGGTGAGCATGTACAGCTTTGGTCTCATCCCAGTGCATATTCATGGGTGAAACTGATTTAAAGATATTCCATGAAGTTTGACCCTTCCAATAAATAAAAAGATTTTGAAATGAGGTAGCTAAATCCTAGGAGGCTTAATACGCATTATTTTTTTTTTCTTTCCCCAAAAGTATCTAAAAATTTGAAACATTCATTATGAATATCTAGAAATCTGTGACATTTAACTTAACCCTTACTTCTTTCTAAAAAAATGCTCAACTGCCTGCTAGTTGCTGCTTTGTGTTGGGAGGGCTCTGCTTAAGCAAGGGTGCCAAATGCTCACTCTGCCTCCTTGGCTAGCAGTCACCTTTTCTGGCAAATAGTTTCTAGATTTTCCTTTTTCCCACATTGCAACAGAGCTGTGATTTTTAGCTTCCTACTGATCTGCCATGACTTTGGAGCTTTATTCTGTAGTAGTATTGGTAGTCCCAGGATATACAAGAGGCTTTCTTTTCCCTACTAATAGGAAGAAAGAAGTTCCAAGATACCACTCCAGGTAAGAAAAAACATTCAACAACAAACAAAATATGAGGAAAAGAGAGGGAACCCTCAGAACAAGCAATTGAAATGCATTCAGTTTCAATTTGACATGTGAGAATGGTCTAGGAACTGTTATTTCAATCCCTTTGGAAAGCATTTTGCCGAAGACCGTTGGAGCACCATTGCTGGACATAAGCACTAGCTTTCAAAGCAATAAGAAAAACCTGGACATATTAAAAAAGTATTGAATTACAACCTTGAAGTTGCTGAGCCTAGCATTACACATCATAGAGGAGGTGGCTATTAAGGGTCAACATGGGATGTTTTAGAGTTTTGTGAGGTCTGTCCTGTCATTTGTGAGCTCACAGATTACAGAGTGTTGTACAGGAAAGGATTAGGAGCCCAATCAGAAGGTGCAGACGTGTAGGCACACTCACAAAACCCACTGTATCACAGGCATACTCTGTCTTGTCAGTGCAGATTTCACCCAGGCATAGTAATTTCCCCGCTGCTTCTCCTGTTTTGCAGTATTCTGGATTTCACACCGAGAGATCCGAGTCCGACCACGAGAGCCAGTGGGGCGGGAGCCCCCTGACCGATACAGCTTCTCCCCAGCTGCTGGAGCCCACGGACAGACCGAACTCCCAGCACCATGATGTCTCCTGTGCCTACAGGCAGTACTCAGACCGCAGTGCCCTCTGCTATGGTTTTACACTCGACCACTCCAGGCTGACTGATGACCGACATTTCCATACTCAGGCCTGTGAAGGAGGCAGATGTGAAGCTGGCCGGTATTTCCTTGGCACACCGCAGCCAGGAAGGGAGAGCTGGTGGGGCTCCCGTTCAGCCTTGCCCCTGACTAAGTCATCCCCTGAGAGCAGAGAAGCATATGAAAACAGTATGCCCCACATAACTTCAGTGCACAGGATTCATGGTAAGAGATAACAGGGATTTGCAGGACTGGCACCGTCTCATCAAGCAGTGTAACATAAACATGCTGCTGTTTATGTGAGAGGTAGAAAAGGAAAGAGACTTTCGTTGCATGTGCTTGTCTTGGAGATAGCATCTGTGGAGATAAGGCATACTTACAGTTCAATTTGAGTTTGACAGTCTGGCTTATATGCAGAAAATATAATTTGTTGTATATTTTTTAGTCTGTGAAATTAAGGCAGGAATATCTGACTGGTAGGATCTTAAAAATATGAACAAATTTATACACTTGATAGAAACGTTATTTATTTGACTTAATATCAAACTGCTTTGGATGGAATACATTTAGCACAAAATTAGTTAGAAGTAAACTCAAACTAGAAATTAAAAAACCTCTAAGTTCTTTTGAGAAATTGTTCTCCATATGACTTCTTTTCTCTGCACTGGTTATTACTAGATTCTATAAGTTCTGCTGTATACTTTTATTTAAAATCGACATTTAAAACTAACATTTGCTTTTGGTTTCAGACTTTTATCCCCAGCTATAATTTTTTGTCAACTTTAGTCTATCCATCCTTTCAGCACCAAGTCTGAAGCCTTGCTTGGTGTTTGGCAGGTTGCAACCTCAGTGCATTAGCACGTCTTCAGAGGCTGAACAAGGTCCTTGAGTTTAAAGGGTAGGCTGAGAGTTGGAAGACTGCAACTGATTTAAAAATCAGAGTTTAAGGTTGTAAGGACAGATGCACTGTAAAAAAAATATTTTTCTACTAAAATAATCTGTCAAAACATAGGTTGTATCTGAAGAATTCATAAAAACTAATTACATTCGTAAAGTTCCATTGACTTGCAGAATGAGGTTTGGAAATAAAAAAACCCTATACTATTTTACTACAATCTGAGGAAGACTGTGTTGATATTAGAAAACTGATTAAATACCAAGTTCTAGGAAATACAATCAGAAGACAAATGAGGAAAGAAAAGGCCACCTAAATTTTGCTGATGACTACTGTTCTCCACTTCTCCTGTGAGAACATAACTCCTTCTTTGTGTCTGTTCTGTACTTCTGTCATACTTATTTCGCTAGCTTTCTCTGCTCCTAAAAAGGGAATTGGGCAGAATATGACAATTTTGTTGGCAAGTTTTGTGCATGATAATTCTTACTGAGCGTAGAAAGAGAGTGATGTAGAAATATCATACAGAGGCACAAATGAACAAGTGTTAAATATTTATTCCATACTTTTATCAGAGATAATGAAAGTGAATGTATAATATAATTTGATTTTAGTTTGTTCCTTGGTTTTGCTGTAATTCTGGGTAATGCGGTTATTTTCTTTATTGTATCAAGTCTTCTATGCTTCAGTGAGTCTTCGGTCTGCGCATAGCTTTGGGAGTAAAACCTGACAAGTTGGTCTCAGCTGAGGAGAGGAATATCTCAGATTCCCTTGCAAAAGTGCCATTTTTATTCAGATTTAGGCATTTTCAAAATCTGGCCTTTCACAACTGACACACTTTTTGAGAATGCTACGTGAACATTGCTGCCAGAGCTGTTTTGGCAGAAAATATTTTCTCCCTTTTCTGTTCTTTTAATGCATCTTCTGGTAGTTCTGGCTCGGAGTCACCTTCCATTAGTGACAATTAGCTGACAATGAGTATGGCAGGCCCTGGATACTGCGTATGAGCCCATGCGTTTCTGGTCACCCTGAGGTGTCCACTTTCTTCCTAGTGAGGATAGACGGGTCTGATTCTGTCCTTTCAGCTACATGCAAGCTGAACACCTTCTCTGGTATGTCTATGGGCCTTATTTTTAAAAGAAAGAGAAGAATATATATTTTCACATTCTAAAACTTTTATACGGCAAATATTTGTGCATTGGGATATGATATCATGTTTTCCCAGCAACCCCATCTAACAGCTATGTGTTGTTGTGCTTCTAAAGAAGAACTGCTTCATTACTTCTGTTTATTTATTGTTGTGTAACCAGCATAAAGTCACCACGGGGCCATGAACCATTCCACAATGCTTGCTTTCTCTATGTTTTAGCTCCTGGAAAGGGCTAAGAAGACACGCCGGAGTCATGTTCACTTGTAATTCCTTGGGATTTCTGTTTTCACCACAGTCCCAATTCACTCAGACTTTGTTGAGGCAAAGAGTTAGTGAGGAGTCAGGGGCCTGAACATCGGTGTTGAGGGCACTTTCACATGCCCTACGGCACCCTACCTGGCCTCTAGCTGCTCCAGAAGACACAGAGTTCCTTTAGGGCTGGTGCCATATCTGCTGGGCCTATACAGAAGTTTAGTTACCCTAGAGCATCTCAGATGGCACTGGAAGTCTGTGTTGAGGTGTTAGGTCTCTTCTTTGTATATTTTAAGCAGTGCTGCTTGTTGTATGTTCCACTGGAAACTAGAGGTGTCACTGAAAAACAAGGGGTCTACCATGGGCATTTTTGGTGAACTTTTTTTATGAGTCTCTTGCCTCTGTCTTGGTTTTCTGTCTGTAAAATAAGGATCAGAGTACTTGTTTGTCAAGATTTCTTGCCTCCTTCAACCTCAATGCATGTCTCCTTTCTCTCTTTCCTAGGGAGAGGACACTGGGATGAGGACAGTGTCGTTAGCTCACCTGATCCTGGCTCTGCCAGTGAATCAGGTGACCGTTATCGTCCTGAGCAATATCAGAGCAGTCCACATGAACCGAGCAAAATTGAAACTCTAATAAGAGCCACCCAGCAAATGATTAAAGAGGAAGAAAACAGACTACAGCTGCGGAAAACAACCCCTGATCCACTGGTGTCCATTAATGGCACAGGGAAGAAGCACACTATCTGTTTTGCAAACTACCCTCAGCAGCAGTTGGCAGGGGATGTCTGTCGAGTCCCGACGATTGCCAACACTCCTCCCTGTGAACACATCCAGCAACGAGATGGAAAGATTATGAGCCCACATGAAAATGACTATGACAACAGCCCCACAACACTGTCTAGGATAAGCAGCCCCAGTTCTGACCGAATATCAAAATCCAGCTTGGTACTAGCTAAAGACTACCTGCATTCAGACATGTCTCCTCATCAAACGCCAGGGGACCATCCAGCAGCCTCTCCAAATTATTACAGCTCCCATAGGCAGTACTTTGATAAGCACGCTTACACATTAACTGGATATGCCCTGGAGCATCTATATGACACTGAAACCATTAGAAACTATTCACTAGGCTGTAATGGCTCACACTTTGATGTAACTTCTCACTTAAGGATGCAGCAAGATCCAGCACAAGGACACAAGGGGACATCCGTTATAATAACCAATGGAAGCTGACGCTTTTTTAAAAAAACTTTTGTGCTTTAAAAAATAATCTTTGAGATCTAATTGGAAGATATTATATGTTTCCATGCCCTTGTCATTACCAGCATTTGTTATACCACAGTGCACTAAAAAGAGTAACCTAAGGTTTGGGGGAATAAGTTAGTTAACAAATATTACTTTTAAAAAATAAAAAGGCACTGGCACGCAGGGTGAGAGTGAATGGAGCAAAACTCAAAGCTGGTGCTACGCAAGGTGAGAAGGATGGAAGAGGTCTAGGCAGGAGGTGCTTGGGGAAGTCTGGCAGAGCAATTTATGCACATTGTGTGAGAAGTGGGTGTTTGGAAACGCTGCCAAGGGCAGACCTTCTGAACTGCGTGTGCCCCTCAGGTCCCAGCCAACAAAACTGCTATGCACTCTTTTTACGCAGAAAGTTGGAATGTGTTCCTTTGAAATGCACATCAAAATGTGTACTTCTGATGATATGTTTATTCCCTAACGGCCAAGTGTGTTATGCTGCTCCATGGTATAAAGCATCCATGGCTAACCAATAAAAAAAGACAAAATGGGGAGAAAGAAGAGAGAACTCCTCAGAATTGTTATTTCCTTGTATACTCACATGCATAGCTCTTTACATACGCTTGATTTGAAAGGAGTCAACTGACCAGTATCCTTATGATCAGTACGATCAAATTATTTGCTTCTACTGTATTTAAAAGAAAAAGGACCTTTCTCAGTGTAGTTTTGAGAAATACATAGGGCTTGGTTGTCCTGATGTAGAAATGGGAGATTGTCCTCATATTTTTGAGAGGTTCCACTAGGTGTGTGGCAGAGTGAAGTGGAAGAAAATTGTCAGGAGAAATGGGGAGAATAGTCTGTAATGAGGAATTTTCCAAGATAAATGCATTTAAAACTATGGTTATGTATGCGATTTAGTGGTAATTATAAAATAAGGAAAAGTGGTTCTAAGTGGCCAGATAACTAAGACTTAATTTGAAACACAGAAGGAACTCAATAGAATCATAGAAATTTTGCTGTAAAATACTAAGGCAATTGCATAACTGTACAAATATGAGAGGCGAGAATAGACAAAAACTGTATGGTAGTTTGTCCTACTTCTGATAAAGTTTTGGAGTAAATTAAGAAATTATAGAAAGTTGTAACTACTCTGACATACAGTAAAACCACAGGTATGACTGAAAAAGGGATATGCCTTCTTTTCTTACTTGAAGCAGAAAATTTAACAAATATCAGAACATATTAGGGATATCAAAATCAGTCATATGGGCAGAAAAAAATACTGAAGGAAATCAGGTTCCAAGAAATTCAACTCTATTAAGAATGCTGATATTATCAGGGCCTGCCCTAGAGTTATAGAAGACATCAAAAGAGGTAGAGGAAATTTTTGCAATTTTTAATAATCTCATGAATAGAGAGACACTAATTGATTGGAAAAGAGTAAATAAAAAGCATATGCTAAAATGTAAAAAAGGGCATTTGCAGGTCCTAGACCTGTCCTCCTTTGTATGGTATTTACATGAAGTCTCAAAGTTGGCTGCAACGGGACCAGGACCACCACTCCCTGTTATACCAATGTGGAGCTAAGGGAACCTGAGGTGGTTACTAAAATGAGATTAGCACTAAGTCTAGCTTCATTTGTAACATTAAGAAGCTTGACATATGGGACTGAGTCATCAACAGGACTAAATATAAACCAGCATGTTACGGGTGGGATAAAAATATCTATTTTCAAATAAAACTAATCAGAAGCAAAAGCTAAATAATAAGATTATAAGCCACGTAAGTAGAGAGGTACTTGAAAGCAGAGGAAATTACCTCTCTGAACTTGGAATATTGTGTATAGTCCTCATCACTCTGAGACAGATTGTGGATCTTGAATTGAGTAGTACCTTACTCCATAAGCAATCTCTGTTGACTGCAGTGTGATCACTGCTGGTGAAATGTACGTTGAACACAAGGAAGAGCAACACAGTCTGGTCTTTATTATCCAAAGCTTATAATAGAAAAGGTGGAGCAGAGCTCAGCAGAAGATAAAGAGGCTGAAAGATCTAATAAAAACTTTAAATAAACTGGGTCTGTCATCTTTGTAAGGGAAAAGAGTAAGGGGGGATGTCACTGGTGTGCACCAAGCTCTGCACAAAGAGAGAAAAACAGTGGTCTAAAACTATTTGAACTAGTGGCAGAAATGAGAGACGAGGCATTGAATGTTAGCCAAGACAAAATGAGAACAAAATGATTTGGCAAGAAGTTTGTTTGACTAAATGCCAAATGAATAACAAAGGTCACAAAGAGAAGCAGCTAGAGATTTTTGTTTGTTTGTTTGTTTTAAAATAAAAAAGAGGCAAATAATTGAGGGAAAGAAAAACATTGACAGCTGTTAACTCAGAGGAAGGAATGGACCAAAATGGACTTCTTTCAGCCCAACAATTGTATATATTCCTAAAGCATAGGAATGAGAAAGTATTTTTGATAAAGCTAGTTCTGGATACATATTTATTTCATTATTCCTATGAATAATATGAATAAACTTGTATTTGGAGTCTCATTGTACAGTACTGAAATACAATTTGCAAAGCGAATTAGAGGTACATGGTATCACATTATCCTTACTAGTACAAAAAAAATAAGCCTAAGTGTCAATATTATTTTGTACTACAGAAGAGTTTCCTAAATTGTTTGAATGAATGGGAATTTGTCAGCACCCAGGTTTCTTGGGGTCATCGAGCACTCTTGTTATCGAGCTTTTAATCAGAGGGCAATAGAGTTCTGCAGACTAGCTGCAGTTCCCTGACTATGGTCTAATGGCCAAAAGTAGTCAGGAAACCACAGTTTGGGAACTGTTGTATTTGCATTCTGACAGGCACTTTTGAAAAACAGAAGACTTCTAAAATAAACAGGCACAATATAAGATGCCTGTACTTTATATAATTTTACCCAGGAAAAAAAACAGTGTGCTATGCAATAAAAATTCCCCATTCTTATCTACTGTGATCGCAAAATAAAACTTCCCAAACTGTAGTTATTTTTGCTGTTTTCAATAGTTTCAGTCCACTACAATGGCAAATGCAGCAAAATGCACTGTAGAGAAAGGAATACCTAATATCTCAATAGAAAGGGATGTGTATGCAGCCGTGTTGTGCTACAGGCAGAGGCTGATGCTGACTCCACTGGCAGTCCTTAGCATTTCCATACAGTCTGCTGGAGATAGATGCCTTTTGTCAGCTAGTTTGCCCTCCTGCTTCCTTAGATAGCCAGGAATTTCTTCTTAATTGACAGAAAACATTGAATGTTGTAAACCTAGACTCCGCATGCTACATGAAAGCAAGTTTGCAATCTTAATTATAGTATATAATATCACTGCAGCTCATATAACATGTACTTTCCAATATGATATAAAGCTTATTTTTTCCATTACATAGTTATTTAACTCAAATTTTCATTTAGTATCCTTCAAGGATACCTTCTTCTTTTTTTTCGTTTCTTCCTTTTCTAAATCGGATGAGATGAGATATTTTGCAAAATTGAAAAATGCAAGGCATTTGTACCAAATACATTTCAAATGTGTCACCTTAGCTAAAGGTTGTCATTTTAAAGAAGATATGTATGAAATCATATAATCATAGGATAGTTTGGGGTGGAAGGGACCTTTAAAGGCCATCTAGTCTGACCCCCCTGTCATGAGCAGGGACACCTTCAACTAGACCAGGTTGCTCAGAGCCCTGTCCAACCTGACCTTCAGTGTTTCCAGGGATGGGGCCTCCGCTACCTCTGTGGGCAACCTGGTCTGGTGTTTCACTACTCGTTGTGTTTTTGAACAGAAATAACATGAGTTGCTGTGTTTCATTATTTCTCTAACACAATTGTGTTTTGCTGTTGACACGAAATTAATATTTTGTAGCTACTCCAAATACAGAGTGACCACAGCTCTTTAAAACCATTTCTTACTGATATCAGTGGATGGTGCATTATGATTTTGGTATATCTCTTTTTTTTAAAGAAGCAAAAAAGATCCCTCTGCTTTATACAAAATTGCACCCCAGGGGCACAGCGTTTGTAATTTTGGACAAATTTGCAAAGCATTTCTTAAATGAGAAGAAGAACCTTACTCAGCAGGTTGTCCCATTGACTCAAATGGGGATATTTGTGGAGTAAGGTACTACTTAATATGTGTAATGGCAAAAAAAGATGACTTCTTGTGAACTGGCAGTAGGTTTGGGGTTTATTTGTAATTTTTTTTTTTTTTAAGCTAAGGATGTGAGTATGGAAACTATGGAAGGAAGAAGCTGTAATGGCTGTGTTGCTACAGTAGATGTTATTTATGCATACTTTGAAAAAAATGGGTGCATCTCTCTGCACTGAAGAGCCCCAGAAGTATTTCTTAAGCTTTAAATGGCTTGTGTTGATGTGTCCGCAATATTGCCACAGGTTACACAGTGAAATTCTGCTCTTTTAAACTCTTTTAATCACAGTTATCTGAATCTCGTTTTTATCTCTGAACATGCAGCATTTATTCATTAATGTCCCTAAGTATGTTAACCACCGTATGTTCATGTATGTGAACATCCCATGTGATTGGAAAAAAATAAAAGGTCGCATAGTATTTCTGGGAAAGGCGCAGCCACCACGGAAAATCAGACTAGCAGTTGCAGAGGTCAGTTAACCTTTCAGTCAAGGAACAAAGCTGTGGCACACACGGTTGTTTCAGACCTTCTGCATACAAAGCTGTATATAATGGGGATTATAGTGCATAGTTCCAGGATTAGACCTAGCCATGTCTATTTTAAGGTGGCTATAGCTGATGTCTGGCAGCAAATGGATTCAGGCTCTGGTCTTTCCATGAGTTACAAGTTTACTTAAAACACCTAAAGGTCTAAAGGCAATACAGGCTTTGTTGTTAGGAACAATGGTGGATGAACAAGCTTTCCTGTAGGTGTACTGGATTAGCTCCAGACACCTCCACACTGTGGAGAAGAAACTATTTTACTTTATTTACA